GTTATCATTGACTTAAAATATACAACGATTCGTGTAAATACTTTTAAGTTCATTGTGCGCAAAAAGAATCTAGTTTTTGACCCAAAATTACAGCAATTTAGACTTTGATTTCGTTAAGTAAAGGTCAGAAACTAAAGCTGACTAAAGTTAACGAGTATCTATAACTGAAAACACTATCGATATTCTCTTATTTGAGTCTAGAGGGCAATATACCTCCTAAAGTTTTTCGATATGCACAACTTTCAGTTAAAACATCTAGTATTCATTGCCTTTAGTTACTTATCGTTTGCAATAAACAATGTAAAATTATATATATATATATATATATATATATATATATATATATATATATATATATATATATATATATATATATATTTACTTATAAGTGTGTGTGTGTGCGTGTGTGTTTACTGTATACTTAGTTTGTCCATTGCTGATATTAGAGTTTTAGTGTGTAAGCAATTTTAAGATTTTTGTTTGTTTTTGTAATGTTATAAATAGATGTTTAATCAGGTTTGAATTCAAAACCTAACCTTGATTATGACCTTAGAAGGTTCTAAAAGCGAACTTGTTTCGTGTAATTTTCCACTGTGATTTTTTTAAAATGCTAATGCGACACGGGTCAAAATTATGTATGTATGTATGTATGTATGTATGTATGTATGTATGTATGTATGTATGTATGTATGTATGTATGTATGTATGTATGTATGTATGTATGTATGTATGTATGTATGTATGTATGTATGTATGTATGTATGTATGTATGTATGTATGTATGTATGTATGTATGTATGTATGTACATACATGTATGTATGTATGTATGTATGTATGTATGTATGTATGTATGTATGTATGTATGTATGTATGTATGCATGCATGTATGTATGTATGTATGTATGTATGTATGTATGTATGTATGTATGTATGTATGCATGTATGTATGCATGCATGTATGTATGTATGTATGTATATGTATGTATGTATGTATGCATGCATGCATGCATGCATGCATATATATATATATATATATATATATATATATATATATATATATATATATATATATATATATATATATATATATATATATATATATATATATACACTTAATATTTTGTATTTTGCATATTCCTAAAAAAAACTTTATAGCAACGTTTCTTTAATCGATCTTTGATATGTAATTACATGAAGTACTTTATTTACTCAAGCAATAATTTGTATTTGTGCATGAGTGCGTGTTTGTATGTGTGTGTTGTTTTTTCTTCTATTTGATTTAAGGAATATGTACGGTCACATTCTTTTCATTTATTGGCGACAACTAAAACGATATACTTGCAATTCTTTCCACAGAATTATATGCATGATAGCTTTGAGGCCAACACAAACTATTGAGTAGTTTTGTCTAAAACGAATGTACTAAAATACAAACATAAATAAATCAAAATTTATGTGATTATTGGCAGTAATAATTTTTTATTCTCCTAATAGATGTCATTCTAAATTAGTACAAGTTAATATTATTCTGTTAGTAGAGAAACTGTCAAGTTTCATATTATTGATTTCTAAAAGAAAGTATGACTTCTACCACGTCAAGTTAATTAAGTCCTGTCCCGTGGATCGCAATGATTCAAAATAAATATTTTGAGAAGAAAAGGCAGCAAATGAATGAAAATAATATATTTTTTAAAGGCAAAAAGTCTATTTCAGGAATTTAAATATGAAAGAAAGAAAATACATAATGACGGTTGAGAATTTTTTATTCATATAAGGACGCGGATCTTAGTCATAAAACTAAATGACATTTATACCCTGCTCGGATTTCACCAGCACAATCTCACTTACAATTGACATGTCATATATGTAAAATATTTGTATAACTTGAAGATTTATGTTTGTTAAATGGAGTCCAGAATGCTGCCTCAAGTCCTATAAAACACTTTTGATTGACAGCAACATATTGGCGAAATTGTGGCCATAAAGTTATTTCAAGTGATATAAAATACCTCTAATTGACAGTTTTATGAAAAATTCGCTCATGTTTTTTTTTTTCTGAAAGAAAGGTAAGGATATGTACAGTGGCCCATAAATTTACCCATTTAAGCAAGTTTCCATCAGGGCATTTTATGACATCTATACACAAAGTCAGACTTCCTCCGTGATCAGTTTTACTGACATGACCATCACAAGTAGGAATGGTAAAGTCAACACACACACACACACACACACACACACACATATATATATATATATATATATATATATATATATATATATATATATATATATATATATATATATATATATATAGTTTGCTGCTTTCTTCACGATTTGATCAATCTTAACACCGACCAACCTTAACAAACACCAACCCACACACCTCAACACGCACCGATCACACCAAAAATGGCATATTTTTTTATCTCGGCTAAGGGCTTTATGACATAAATATGATGTTTGATTAGTATCCATACAGACGAGATGTTTAATACTCACTATAAATTTAATTATTTTCCTTTAAAAATGTTAATTTATTTTGGAATAATGTTCAGCAATTTTATTTTATGAAACTCCTATGAATAACCATCAGGTACCCAAGTTCTTTTCTTGTTTGTTGCATATGACCGAGTGTATTTTTACATCTTCCACAAGTGTAAAAGAGCATATATTTGGTTTATCATATTGTACCTCCTTTGTGTTTGTCTGTACTTATATGTTAGTATTGATGTAAAATCAAGTTGAATTTTGTGCTTAAATTGTGGGGTAGAATTTCATGTAGCATAAAATATTTTTGTTTCAGAGCAGATCCATGGGCATAAATTAGAAAAGTTACCAAAGAGACAAAATCTAGATACCAGTGCAATTTACAAAAGTAAGAGTGCATTGTACACTGTTTGCAAAATAATACGTAAAATGACATTTTGCCCCAGCCACGACCCATCCCAAATCCTCAGTAGCCAAATATTGCCCTATTCCAGTGGTCTCAAACTCAAACCACCCTGAAAGCCGCATGAGGGTAGTTATGATGGCCCAATGGCCACACCATTGGGCCGCACCACCTTTGTTATCTCTCATGATACCTTTGACTCCGATCAATTTGTGGATCACAGTATACGGTATGGCCGACCACATGCAGACAGCGGGCCACGTATTTGAGACATCTGCCTTCACCAACCAGTCCACCTCTCTATGCAGCCATCTGCATTATGTTCCTGAGAAATGAACGTCCACACGCTACTGCAGGAACTCCCACACCATGAAGCCAAGTCAAACTTTAAGTTTAAATGTCAACATGCTACAGAATGCGTGGACTTTGTAAATTTAAAAAATACGGGCGAAAGAGTGTAACAATTAGAGTGGTGCCTAGTGACAAAACAGATATGTGTGATTGAACCTGGTGAATATTGTCGTTCGGGCGAGAAGAAGAACTGCAGGAACGTTGTACTGGGGTCAAGAACGTTGTTTTCACATCATGGGCAAAGAACAACGTGTGTCTCATGGTAGTAGTACGTAAGCACAATTTTGGCCCAAACTAGTAAATGTGGATTGATATTATTGTCAATAATCATTACAAATGAACCGAAAAAAACAAAAAACGGCATAAATATTTCAGGAGGTTAAGGTAAAACTGATACACCCTGCAGATAATACAACTGTACTGATTAAATAAAAATTACTCCGAAATGTGTTATATCTTCTACATCAGTTTGCAATTACAAAAGGCTTAAAACCAAAACCTTTGATGAAAGTTCAGCACTGTCGATTTACAATAACATTTTTAATTTTTATTGTCTGCAAATAAACTTGAAATGATAGGAATTTAAACTGGTCTAAAGAAACTTTGTGGCTTTTATTTATTATTTTTTCTCCACAAAATATCTCCAATATGATTATAAAAGAACGGCCTTAAATCGTATAATTAAATTATTCCTTGTCTAAACAAGTCAATGCAGCAAACCACACAACGATACCTACAGTAGTTATTAAATTATGTTTCTTTACAAATACAATATTTTAATCATGTTAATATCTGTGTTGAAAAGGCTGAAGTGAGAATCCAGTTTGAATTGGAAAACTCAACTGCACGCTATAATGTATTGAATTTGACATCAGGTCATTTCCTGTCTACGTTCAAATGTATGGCTTTACATAGCGACAACACCTGAAATACTCTACAAAGACTTGGACCTTTTATGTTCGTTTCCTGCAGTTGATGACCTGATGCTGATTATTGTATTTCTGAACCAAACACACATAACATGGTACTGTACTGATTTGAACACTACCAACCAAACACACATTACATGGTACTGAAATGATTTGAACACTACCAACCAAACACACATAACATGGTACTGTACTGATTTGAACACTAACAACCAAACGCACATAGCATGACTCTGTACTAGTTTAAACGCTACCAAGCAAAGATACATAACATGGCACCATACTGGTTTGAACATCACCAACCAAACCCACAAAACATGGCACTGTACTGGTTGTAACAATACTAACCAAACACACATAACAATACACCATACTGGTTTAAACACCACCAACCAAACACACATAACATGGCACTATACTGGTTTGAACACTACCAACCAAACACACATAACATGACACCATACTGGTTTAAACACCACCAACCAAACACACATAACATAGCAATCTACTGGTTGAACACTACCAACCAAAAACATGATATGGCACTAATCTTGCTTGTGTGTGTGTCTGTGTGTGTGTGTGTGTGTGTGTGTGTGATTTAAATTTTTAACGCAGCTTTTAACAATTTTTCAATCATATCGCTACGATATCTACAGTGTGACAATTTATAGTGATGTCTAGCACTGAGGCATCATATAGCTAACATGTGACATGATGTCCCACCCAGTCACATTATTCTGACACCAGGCCAACCAGTCCTAACACTAACCTCCTAATGCTGAGCTCCATGCGAGGCAGCTGTTAGCACCATATTTTAAAGTCTTGGGTATGACTCAGCCAGGGTTCGAACCCACGACCTCTCGCATCCGAGGCGGACGCTCTGACCACTAGGCCACCGGAGTGGTTCGATAATAGTTTGAACACTACCAACCAAGCACAAATAATATGGCACCATACTGTTTTGAACAGTCAACCAAACACACATAACATGGCACTATATTGGTTTAACACTTCTAACCCAGCACGTATAACATGGCACTATACTTGGTTGAACACTACCAACCAAGCACACATAACATGGCACTATACTGGGTTGAACACTACCAACCAAGCACACATAACATGGCACTAAACTGGGTTGAACACTACCAAAATAATGTTTTAAAGATTCTGACGACTCATGAGGTAATGGAAACAGTGACTCTGACGACGAAAATTGTCGACTTGTAAACACCGACTGGTACTGCTTACTTTCTGATGCTAAATTATTCAGTCCGATAATAAAGGTAGATCATCATTAGACCCAGACTAGGCTGTATTCGTAGATTACCACTTTGTCAAATAGATTACACAGTTCTTCTAATCTAACCATTCTTCTCCGTCAGTATTGTAACTAGACATCTTCACACATCACTATTGTATCTAGACGTCTCCACACATCAGTATTGTAGCTAGACACCTTCACACATCAGTATTGTAACTAGACGTCTTCACACAACAGAATTGTAACTAGACGTCTCCACACATCAGTATTGTAGCTAGACACCTTCACACATCAGTATTGTAACTAGACATCTTCACACAACAGAATTGTAACTAGACACCTTCACACATCAGTATTGTAACTAGACACCTTCACACATCAGTATTGTAACTAGACACCTTCACACATCAGTATTGTAACTAGACATCTTCAAACATCAGAATTGAAAGTTTGTTCTTGTTAACAATTTTCAGACATTCAAAACCAGAGAGCGAGTTTTGGGTGCGGTGTGCACTGATAACGGTATAATCGTTGCCAATAGTTTATTAATAAATAATTAATCTGACTGCCTATTCATCCTAAATCCAGAGAGAACCTACTAATTAACTGGTACTCAACACTATATTCTTAGATATTTAAAACGTAAATATTGAAGGGTATGAAAACTGAAATGCGATTTTCTGTTCATGCTTCTGAGAATACATAGAGATACTTCAAATAAACAAGTTACAAATTTTCATAGAATTATTTATGGGGGAAATTTCAACAATTCAAGTACTGACATTAATTGAGAAATAAAAACAATCTCTTTTCCTATTTCGTCCAATTAATCATAATACATCTCTGTGGTGAAAATACATGCACAACAATGAGCACAAATGAAACGTTATGTACACTGGATTAGGATTTTCTCTCATCCCCTTTCCATATATTACACAATGGATTCTTAATCTAAAATTATCCTTTACATTACCTAAATCATTTCAACAGTTAATGTACAAAAATAATAGAGCTTCAATGACCGAACAAAACATAACTCTGTTCAAAATTCAGCTTTAACAATAGACATGTGAGACTAAGTGCAACAACAAATTATTAATGGTGATGGCATTGTAACCGTCACCGCGTAGCGTAGTAGTTTTCACCAGATCCTATTGTATCAGTCAGATTCAATAAGGCTATAAATATCACCAGATCCTACTGTATCAGTCATATTCAATAAGACGATAAATATCACCAGATCCTACTGTATCAGGCATATTCAATAAGACGATAAATATCACCAGATCATACTGTATCAGTCATATTCAATAAGACGATAAATATCACCAGATCCTACGGTATCAGTCATATTCAATAAGACGATAAATATCACCAGATCCTACGGTATCAGTCATATTCAATAAGACGATAAATATCACCAGATCCTACTGTATCAGTCATATTCAATATGACGATAAATATCACCAGATCCTACTATATCAGTCATATTCAATAAGACGATAAATATCACCAGATCATACTGTATCAGTCGGATTCAATAAGACAATAAATATCACCAGATCATACTGTATCAGTCGGATTCAATAAGACTATAAATATCACCAGATAATACTATATCAGTCGGATTCAATAAGACGACAAATATCACCAGATCACACTGTATCAGTCGGATTCAATAAGGCTATAAATATCACCAGATCCTACTGTATCAGTCGGATTCAATAAGACGATAAATATCACATCATACTGTATCAGTCGGATTCAATAAGACGATAAATATCACATCATACTGTATCAGTCATATTCAATAAGACGACAAATATCACTAGATCACACTGTATCAGTCGGATTCAATAAGGCTATAAATATCACCAGATCCTACTGTATCAGTCGGATTCAATAAGACGATAAATATCACATCATACTGTATCAGTCGGATTCAATAAGACGATAAATATCACATCATACTGTATCAGTCATATTCAATAAGACGAAAAATATCACATCATACTGTATCAGTCGGATTCAATAAGACGATAAATATCACATCATACTGTATCAGTCATATTCAATAAGACGAAAAATATCACATCATACTGTATCAGTCGGATTCAATAAGACGATAAATATCACATCATACTGTATCAGTCATATTCAATAAGACGATAAATATCACATCATACTGTATCAGTCGGATTCAATAAGACGATAAATATCACATCATACTGTGTCAGTCGGATTCAAAAAGACGATAAATATCACATCATACTGTATCAGTCGGATTCAATAAGACGATAAATATCACATCATACTGTATCAGTCGGATTCAATAAGACGATAAATATCACATCATACTGTATCAGCCATATTCAATAAGACGATAAATATCACATCATACTGTATCAGTCGGATTCAATAAGACGATAAATATCACATCATACTGTATCAGTCATATTCAATAAGACGATAAATATCACATCATACTGTATCAGTCGGATTCAATAAGACGATAAATATCACATCATACTGTATCAGTCATATTCAATAAGACGATAAATATCACATCATACTGTATCAGTCGGATTCAATAAGACAATAAATATCACATCATACTGTATCAGTCATATTCAATAAGACGATAAATATCACATCATACTGTATCAGTCGGATTCAATAAGACAATAAATATCACATCATACTGTATCAGTCAGATTCGATAAGACAATAAATATCACATCATACTGTATCAGTCATATTCAATAAGACGATAAATATCACATCATACTGTATCAGTCGGATTCAATAAGACGATAAATATCACATCATACTGTATCAGTCATATTCAATAAGACGATAAATATCACATCATACTGTATCAGTCGAATTCAATAAGACGATAAATATCACATCATACTGTATCAGTCATATTCAATAAGACAATAAATATCACATCATACTGTATCAGTCATATTCAATAAGACGATAAATATCACATCATACTGTATCAGTCGGATTCAATAAGACGATAAATATCACATCATACTGTATCAGTCATATTCAATAAGACGATAAATATCACATCATACTGTATCAGTCGGATTCAATAAGACAATAAATATCACATCATACTGTATCAGTCATATTCAATAAGACGATAAATATCACATCATACTGTATCAGTCGGATTCAATAAGACAATAAATATCACATCATACTGTATCAGTCGGATTCAATAAGACAATAAATATCACATCATACTGTATCAGTCATATTCAATAAGACGATAAATATCACATCATACTGTATCAGTCGGATTCAATAAGACGATAAATATCACATCATACTGTATCAGTCATATTCAATAAGACGAAAAATATCACATCATACTGTATCAGTCGGATTCAATAAGACGATAAATATCACATCATACTGTATCAGTCATATTCAATAAGACGATAAATATCACATCATACTGTATCAGTCGGATTCAATAAGACGATAAATATCACATCATACTGTATCAGTCATATTCAATAAGACGATAAATATCACATCATACTGTATCAGTCGGATTCAATAAGACGATAAATATCACATCATACTGTATCAGTCGGATTCAATAAGACGATAAATATCACATCATACGGTATCAGTCGGATTCAATAAGACGATAAATATCACATCATACTGTATCAGTCGGATTCAATAAGACGATAAATATCACATCATACTGTATCAGTCATATTCAATAAGACGATAAATATCACATCATACTGTATCAGTCGGATTCAATAAGACGATAAATATAACATCATACTGTATCAGTCATATTCAATAAGACGATAAATATCACATCATACTGTATCAGTCGGATTCAATAAGACGATAAATATCACATCATACTGTATCAGTCATATTCAATAAGACGATAAATATCACATCATACTGTATCAGTCGGATTCAATAAGACAATAAATATCACATCATACTGTATCAGTCATATTCAATAAGACGATAAATATCACATCATACTGTATCAGTCGGATTCAATAAGACGATAAATATCACATCATACTGTATCAGTCATATTCAATAAGACGATAAATATCACATCATACTGTATCAGTCGGATTCAATAAGACGATAAATATCACATCATACTGTATCAGTCGGATTCAATAAGACGATAAATATCACATCATACTGTATCAGTCGGATTCAATAAGACGATAAATATCACATCATACTGTATCAGTCGGATTCAATATATTTGTTTGGTTGGGATCTCTCTCTCTCTCTCTCTCTCTCTCTCTCTCTCTCTCTCTCTCTCTCTCTCTCTCTCTCTCTCTCTCTCTCTCTCTCTCTCTCTCTCTCTCTCTCTCTCTCTCTCTCTCTCTCAGTTTTCATCCCTAAGTTTCTCCTTTCCACATTCTCTATCTCTGGTCATCCTCCATGTTCTTGTTTGGATCACATCGTCACACTGTTAACGTCTTTACAAGCTCTGGTTCGGTCTGCAATTGGTCTCCTCTATTTATTAACGCTTCCTTCGTGTCTCTAATGGTGACTGTCAGAACATCCACTGATACTTAAAATACTTCGATGGCTTTTTACAGGTTGCATGACGGTGACTGGATGA